AGATTTAATATTATTAATAAGCTTTTTAATTTATTTTATAAAATATGATGTATCAGAAGTGATAATACAGCCTATATTTAAAAATTTAAATTAGTTTTTTTCTTATTTAATCTCTATAGGTATTATATTATAAGGCTCAAATTCTATATTATTCAATTATCTAATCACAAAATTGAAGATTTCTATATGTAGCGAAAAGACCTATATCGATATATTGTTGGCTATACATCTAAATTAATTTATTCAAAAGAATAAGCTAGTAAGCATATGTAGCTATTTTTACTTATTAGTACGTACGTACATAGTATACTATAAATTGGGCAAGTTTACTAACACTAATATGTATAAATTTAATTAAGCCCAGGAATATATAATCGGGTAGATAATTTAATACATGTAGGTAATTAAATACGATATGATGCTGAACTTAGATGGGAGAATTGATTTTGTATTTTCTTTAGTATAACTAGATATAAAGAAGAAAAAAAATAATAAAATAAAGTGCTTAATGAAAAACTATAAGGTTAGAAAGTGAATCGAGTATGCCTTAACGATTGTGTCACATGATAATCATGACAATCGCCAACGAAAATCATGGCATAATATTACAAATTTAATAGTGAAATTTAACCTAAATTACCTCGGCTTCTAGTGATTAAAATCGAACAAACTTTTTTTTATTTAGAAGTACATCGTCTCTTCTACAGAATAAAAAAAAAAAATTAATGAATCCGTAACTGGTTACCGAGATAATTGAGATATACGATGATGAATAAATTTTACTTATTATGATAGATTATTTGATTTATCTTTTCAACTAATAATTAGATTTTGCTAAATTTTTTTTTATATTGTAGAGGAAGTATATATCTATTAGATAAAAAAAAAAATTATTAATTTTAAACTAATAATCATTGAAAAAATTAGCTTAGAAGTTTGAACTATAAAATGTTTATTTTTATTAATTTCTTGACTAACTACTGATTAAATTTTTATAGTAGGTAGAGAAAAGGTTCCTCTATAAGCTAGTAAAATTTTATTAAAATTAGACTGATAGTTATTGAGATATTCACACAAAAACACCGACACTTATATGATTTTTCAAAACCCTAAAAGTAAAGTTAAATAACTTGCTAATTATGCATGCATGTGATTTAAAAATGACATGACATAATCCTTAAGGAGTAAGGATTACTATAGTTAAGTCAAGGACATAAGTTAATTAGTAAGTTTTTGAGTTATAAGCCAAGTCATTAGGTGGGAAATATTTTTGTCACCCCACTGTACAAGTAACTTGAATGGTTTGTACTACATTTCTGCAGAATCTTAGTGTTGTGGTCTGACGATCTAACTCTTTATTGACTTGACGAAGTGTTAATCATGATTTCTTGTTATAGAAAGGTCATGTAGTGCCTATGCTTCTACTACTATACTTTTATCTGGTAAGATCAAAGCATTATTCCAAGGAATAGGTGATGTGAAGCGTTGAGTTTTTAACTCCTGAATCTATTTTGAATTACCTGAATATACTTTTAGTACATCATCAAGTGGAATTCCCGGCTCTCTTAAATTAGTGCAATGTAAATAATATGTATTTTTACTTTGACTATTTAGCTACCACTTACTATATAAACTCATATGATTTTCTCTACATAGTGGACAATGTGAACCTAAAACCCAATAAGAATCAGTTTGATGCTCACCTTCTGTATCTATGCTATTATTTTTATCCAACTTTGGTGAATTGATAAAATGTGTAGTTAATTTATTAATAACTTGATTATGCATTTTTTTTGACAGCATTTTCTTTAATGGAAAGAGGTTTAGAGTGGGTGATGCACTTACCTCAATATTTGATATGTCTTTTGAGCTAGATGGCTTGGTTACGTGTGCGTAAACATTGTTTATGCTAATCACTTTTATTATATTTTGAACTTGTGTATCCGTTAGCCTAGAAATAGCATTAGCACTATATGTAACTTGCTTGATTTTATCTATTTATATTTCTTTGAATAATGTATAAATATTTCTGGCCTTTTGAGTTTTCTTATGCAAATACTCTCTCTTGATACCAGGAAGAAATAGTTCTATTTCATTATAAATCTGTGTTCTTGCCATTTGATCATTAAGTTCTCTTTTTAAGCTAATGTTTCTAACCTTTTTTTCGAATTCCTCACTATAATGATACCAATGTAAAATTTTTTTTTGACTAGTTTTTTTAGCCTTGTCGAATAAATGGACCAAATGTGATGCAGAACCCAGTGCTGAATTATCGCCATCTAGCATATTTTCAAGAATTTGTTTATTAGATATAGAATTCGAAAGGCTTTTCTCATTAGTAAATATAGATAACTCATATATTAAACCTTTTGATTATAGGAAATTTTTACTTCAGAAGAAACAGTACTTTGTGTTTGACTAATAGGTTCTTCTGAAATATTCTGATCGATTTTGGATGAAAAATTCTTACATACCGAATCCAGAAAATCGTCGACCATTTTATCTTCCAGAGATTTAGGTTCTGTGTAGATAGAAAGTAAAGAAGATTAACTATATTTTTCCTGATATATATGAACCTTTTCTACCTTTTCAGTAATATCAGAATTTGAAGCATTATTAGGAGCATTAATACCAAGAGTGTTTACAGAGTGGCTAGAAATTGGGGTATTATGTGTTTTAACACTAGCTCCACTATTGATATCAAACGCAGGTGTATCAATGAAATTTTTCATTTCGGTAAGTGTGGTATTAGATACAGAGTATCTCGCTTCACAAACTGAAGAATTTTTAATCTCCTTAATTTCATCATCTATCTTTGCCATATGAATGGTTTTTTTATTATCTTTTCGCTTGAGATTTACAAACCTAGCTTCATAATATTTTAAAGTTTGTTCTAATTCTATAATTCTAGCTATAAAACCCCGCTTCCTTGGCCAAGAATTCAGCCTTTTCTCTTTTTAATTCCGTGATCTCAGTACAAGTTTCAAATTTTGTTCTTCTAATAAATCATCTTTAGATTGTATATTTGTTATTTTTTTATATAAAATATGTATATATTCAATTAATCAAAAATGGTTGTGCGCGTGAACATTGTTTATGCTGATTACTTTTGCCAAGAAAATTCTCAATCATATTGCGAGTTAATATATATATTGATATTAATACAATAAATAAATACACATGCGAAAGTAAACACGATTCTGTATGCACTAAAATTGGCCACTGAGCCAGCTTTATTATATAAAAATAAAATATACAATGTGCTATTCTATATAAAGTAAATTTACAGCGCTTTATTTTTTCGATCTTTTTTGAGAACTGTTTACAATGCTCTGCAAATTTACAATGAGTTCATTCTAAAAATTGTGAATTTCCTTTATATTAGCAACATTACACGATAAACATATATTTTAGTAAAGTTAAAAGAATTCTTATCCGCAAAATTAATAAAGCATGGACGAACTCTTCTACTTCTTCAACTGTTTCTTTGTCCAACAGTATTTTCGCTTTAATAATGGGGAGATAATATTTTACCCCCTTTTCCTTTATCAAGCCGTAGATTCCAAGATACTTACCTACAATATTAACAGCAAATCCTATATAATTTTTATAAAAGTTTTCTTTCGAACACTTCTTTACAAGCTCTTTGGATCCAGCTATACAGAATTGTATTAATTTATTATGATCATGAACCATCTTATCTTCGCTAGCACCCCATTTCCTGCCTTCAAAGAATATAATTTCTTCTCATTTCTGGCGAAAATAAGCACGAATCATAATATCAGGTTTATTGCCTCTTAATCCAGTTTTTTGATGAATCTTCCAGTTCTTACTGGCTATACTTTGCCATTCAGATCTGGTAACTTCAACTTCAAAATCCACGGGCAAGTAATACATAGTCATATCTAATAGACGAGAGATGATCTCCACCAATGTATTTTCTGAACCCTCGGAAACTCTCCGAAGCATATTCAGCTTAATTTCCTGTAAAAGAGCATTAGTAATTCTATTTGCTATGAGTCCCCTAACATGATCAGCTTCAACCCATTGATCATGTGTTACAATTTCTCTTGAAGCCAACACAAATTTTCGTGAATTTTGAACCTCATTTCTTCTTGATATAAACTCGTAACAAACTTTCTTCACTGCAATATCTTTATTTAGATTTCTTATCTCAGTCTTCTCTCTATATTAAGATCAATATATAATAAGTATTTTTTTCTATATATAAAATTCATACATAGGTCTTTATAAATGGAAAATATAAATATTATATACGTACAACGAGGGATTTGAAATTACTTTCTGAAATATTATATTTATCTGAACTAAGATCAATAATTCCAATGCATAATGGGTCATCTTTTGATAGTTTATCTACATCTATATTGCTTATTCTTGTAAATATATGTTCATGTGCCAGTGATTCTTCCTCCTAGTAGATTAAAAAGTTAATTTTATAGAAAAGATCAAATTAAATACTAGCTTAAAAGTCAATTTTGTAAAAAAATCAATTTGGATAAGAAATTACCTCGATTTTATCTTTCAAAAACAATATACTGTTTAGTACTAAAGCTTTCTAATCTACTTCTTCTTGGAATTTCCCCCATAAGAACTCATATTTTTCAATGATACTAACTCGTTTCTAATAAATAGTACCTATAAAAATAAAGATAGGTTAATAAAATTCAAAAAAACATCATTATTTTTTTGTGCAAATTCCTATCCTAATCAGAAATAGCCGGACCGACATTATTGTCCAAAAAGTCATTATAATAAGTATAATGAAAGAGATTCTCGCTAACAATATGTCGCTTTTTCAATCTCATTATACTTATTAATGTCTAGACATTATATTCACATCATCTTATTCTTAATATACAAATATCAAAGTAATAAAAAATACCTGATCACTATTTTGCAAGAATTTTTTAAGATGTTGCCTACGTTCTTCATTATTAATTTGACTGACTGTTTCTTTTAGAATTTTTTTGAAGTATTCAAGATCATCTTCTTCTGTTTGAACTTTGAAGCAATTCCACTGCTGTGTAATTATGTTGGAAATAGTAATTTTATCAAAAGATGCAGTTTTTAAGAAGTCATATAAAGAGATGAAAATTTCAGTTGATGGAGTGGATGAATTAGACATGTTTTGCATTGTTAATTTGGTGCAAAAAAGATATTTTAGTTTTGATGATAGAATAACGAAATAAAGCCAAATCACTAATAAGTGACAAATAACAATAAATTCGAGATACTGCCCTTTTATATATTTTTATTTCATCTCTTCTCTGAAACTCAAAATGTTAGAAAGGTTAGATAGAAGCAAAAACATGTGCTCTTCATCAAAAAATTTCTAGGATAGAAGTTAAGACATGTATTTCCACGCAGAGAAACTTCTACTAATAATGAAAGGTATGACAAAGAATTCTATAAATTATGTAAGTGTATGCATCACGAGTTATAAAGCTATGTAAGGCTAAAATCGTTAAAAATAAGCTTTAAGGGACTCAATACTCCGTTGTACATGCATACATTGTGCGCATTTAGGCCTGATATAGTTTCGGTCGAATTCTCCACAAATGAAGAAAAGATGTGGCATGAGTTAATTGACTGGTCGAAAAATGGCACTTTGAGATTGTACTCCGTCTCACAAATTAGTTATGCATAATGAAGGTGATACAGATAAATTTTATATATGGAATTTATTCTAACATGTTAATCATTCGAAAATTTTCATATTCACACTGCTTATATATTCTATTCGCTACTTTTTTGCAGGTTTTGCAATATAGGTATAAATGATGATTGTATTCGTTACAAACCTTACACCTATGCTTCCACCCTTTAAAGATATGCCACTTTTTGATATAATTTCAACTTCTTTTATTTGTATATGTATTGTTATGATTTTTTATCATTGTTATATTAATAGAAAAATAATTATACGTGGCTAAAAAATTTTTTATCATTCAAACCTGCAATGTGTTTGTGCCCTGTCTTACGCATAATCCTTAGGTCGATATCCGATTGAATGCCTATATTTAACAAGCATTTATTGGTATGTATAAACTTTAATACGTATAAATTTAATTATATAATTATACTTATATATGATTTACTAATAAAAAATATTAATATCACGTTGGCGTCAACTTCGGGGACGCGATCTGCACTAGTTAAAATGCTTTATAATACTATAAATTTGTGTAGTATTAAGCTTTGAAATATAATCAGCACTATATGTTCGAATTTGCTTGATTTTTTCAATCCCTTGGTTAGTACCGAAATACTTCTATGCTGATCTCCGATTCGTGGATTTAGGCTTGAAGAGCCATTTCTTTGAAATAAAACACATGACATCGCTCCACTGAGGCTTATTATTGCTTTGCAATGGGCTTTGCCCTATAACGTCATGTGATTTCGAAGTTATGCTCCAATAATTTATTATACATATGGATTAGATCTGTTAGCATCCTCACTCTGCGAGTTAAGCTCGATAATTAATTTTGCCTTTTACTTTACGCTTTCTAATAGGGCATTTCTTTACTGCTCTAGTCTTATGTGTATGTGTAACTTCTATTTCTGAACTAGATATGGAAGAATTACTTAAATCGCTGTCTGAAGTGTCTGAATTAGAAGAAGCATCTGTGGAATATTTGATATTATTTTTCTTACTCTTATTTTGGGAAACATTGTTATTTAATCTTCTGGATAGTAGATGTGTAGGAGGTATGTTGCAAAGCAATGACCCTTTGGGTCTATCTCCAATATTTGAGAGAATTTTGTTAATTATATTCATAACCTCCTCTTGA